TGTGTGTGTGTGTGTGTGTGTGTGTGTTTGAGGTTGCTCAGTTGGTGTTTATAGTATTATTATTGTTTTATTTATTTATTTATTTTATTGAACACATTCAGAGAAAACAGAAATGAATAATTACAATATAGCATTTCCTTTATTAAACATGCATTTACTTTATTATTTGATGAATGGTTACTATTTTGTTAACAATATTTGGGGACTGGGGGGGGGGAGAGGTCGCAAACATTTTTCTTTCTCTAAGGGAGGGCCTGAAAAAAGTTTGAGAACCACTGTCCTACAAATTTACAGTGTTTAGTCATGTGTTGTAGTAACAATGCCAGATTCAAATAGAGACCCAGAAAAATGACTGAAAATAATCAGACATCCCTGAGATTTAGTGCATCTGTTTTTGTATAAATGTTTGTTCTTTCAAAGATCTTTAAAGTGATCAATCACTAAATCAACACTTGCACACCAATGAATATCAGCTTCAAAATGTTGTGAAAAGCATTTAGCTGTAATACTTTTTATTCCCAACAATAATACTGAATGACAGATACAGACTTAAAACAGCAATATGAATTATTTCCACACATTTGATAGTGGTTTATTTCAATGGAAACCACCAACAAAGAAATTATTGACTTTTGAGGTCTTCTGTAGAAGGCACCGTGGTTTGATTTGTGTACAAAAGGCCTCATAGTAAAGTTGTTTTTAAATGATCGTTACCTTCCTGTTCTGTTTTCTGTTTATTGCTCACCTTCTGATCGAGCCAAAGTGTCTTTAACACGTTTGTTGATGCCGTCCAGCTCAGACGTTGTAGCTGTGAGCACCGTGCCACCCTCAGTTTCTCGCAGCTCGTTTAGCTCCTGAATTATTGCAAAAAGAAAAAAAAAAAAGTAATGGTGAAAGTGTAAATTTTTACTTGTAAAACTGTACACCATTATTCTGTAAAACATACAAATGTAATATTGCAGCAACAATACCTCGAAAGCATTATTTTGCAAGTCATATCTTTTTAAAGCTAAAATACCTGTCAAAATCTGGAATTTTTACATTTTTGTTTTATGGTCTCCTTATTTCAAATAGGCAAAACAAAAAATAATCTATTATTGATAGAATGATATGAAATGCTTATATTGTGATATATTTTTCAGCTCTATCACCCAGCACTAAAACAGTCAGAGGGTGAAGACTGGAATAAGAAACTTTAGGTCAAAAAACAAGAAGACAAAGTTCTTCTCTCTTCTACTAAAAGCTGTTGACTGTAGAGTCATTTTGGGAGATAAAACCAAGGGGTGGAGAGCATAAAGCAGAAATTGGAGCTAAATTTGTATGCAAATGAGTTCTGTTGGAATGTTCCAAACTTTAAAAGGGAAAATGTTTGTAACTGATCGACAAACTTACTTGTAAACAAAGGCGAGGAATATTTGCCATTTCCTAATGTATTGTTTATAAAATTCTGATTTATGTACAACAAACCTAAATCAATAATTAAATGAAGTAGAAATTGTGTTAGAAGAAAAAAATGTCAAAGAATAAAAAAAACCCTGAAATATCCCATTTTTTTGACAGCTAATATAGCTTTAACATCATAAAAACAAATAAGGACATAATTAAATTAAACCAAGTAAAGGTGACTTTTGTATTATCACTGAGACACAACAGGAGTACCTGCTCCACTTGGTCAAGACGTTTCCGTAAGTTTTCATTGAGATAAGTTTCCACTCTGGTCATGATTCCCTCCAGCTTGATTCTCTCATTCAACAACTGCCTGTTGTCCTGTGAACAGAGGCACCAACACACAGTCATTACTCATCTGACGCCGTCTGACAACGCTGTGTGCATTCTGTTCATTCAGTTAGGTCCAGGCAAAGGTCATGCTGAAAATAGTTCATCGGAACAAAACCAACTGTTATGTCACAATCACATAATTTAACAACTGAAAACGGTGTGTTTTAGACATGAAAAGGTCTGCGCTGTGAGGGTGGAGCTGTTGCGCAACAAGAGCAGAAGCGGAGTGCGCCGAGGTGAGCGCTGAGAGCAGCTGGCAGTGAAAGAGAAGTGGGACCCACTGTTGGACCACAGCAACATCCCACACACAGCTGCAGCTCACCACTCTCACTTTGACTAGCATGAGCAGGAAAACAATGGAAAACAATACAATAGGCAGCAGATGTGGTCGCACTCCATTATCATTTCAACAATGAATATCTAAATGTGCTTTTAATGCAGCTGCTGAGTTAAGAATTAACTGTAACACAACTACCCATAAAATATGATGTGACGTTTCATGGCACATTTGGAAAAGACAAAGACCCAAGTTTCTCCTGACCTGCTGTAGCTGACGAATCTCATCGTTGAGGTCGTCAACACGTCTCTGGTCCTCAAGACTGAGCTGAGAGAGAAGATCTGTACCCAGCTCGGCCTTCAGTGACTCCCTGGTGGACTCCATGGCATGAAGGCTGGCCTCCAAACTTTGGAGACTGCGTTGCTGGAGAGGACAAAAAGGAAAAGTGAGTGTAGTCAGTAACAAAGCACAAACATTTAGATCCAATGGTGGAATAAAAATACTTAACAGCAATGACAAAACACAACCTTAGGCATGAATGTCTTCTCTGACTGCTGCCTCTTCTCCTTCAGCATCTTCATCTCTGACAGAATACTGTCTCTGGAGGCCTTAAACTTCCTCTGTTGTGTCTCAATCTGCTGCATCTGGTTCATCAGTTGGTCAATCTCATTGTTGATGCGTGCGGCACAAATTAAGGAAGATTACAATGAAGGCAAAAAGGTCCTAATACCTCTGTCTATGGGAAACGGCTGGGATTCAGCCTGGTAAAAGTAGCACTTATAGCTGTTAGTTTAACTGCTGAAACACAGACTTATCAGTATGTTCAACAAAACCCACAAATACAATTTGGGCCTAACGTAATCTTTTAATCTAGATCTTAGCAAACAAACAACTACCTATTTAATGTTTCGCCAAAAATATTTTGATTTTTGTTCCTTACTATAACATAAAAGGCACTACATAAAACATACTAGATTCTTTGACCTGCAGCAGCGCTCGTAATTTCAAGTATTCACAGAAAATATTAGTAAATTATTTAACAATGATAACAGAATATAAAAAGCAGAGTTCACATTATTTTCATTTTATTTTTAGACTTTTCAGCTGCAGCAAAACCAAGCAGTGAACAGCTTTTTTTTTTCACTACGAAAGCATCAAATCATAAAAATTAAAAGAACCCGTTAGAACAGCCGTCGATTCCCTACTTTAAAAAAACATCCTTTCCACGCAGGACCATAAAGGGACAAAAGAGAAACAACCGTTCACACTTTTACGCACACATAGGGAAAATTTAGAGTTACCAATTAAGCTAACATGCCTGTTTTTGGTGTGTGGAAGAAAAATCCCGCATAAAGAAGGAGAACAAGCAAACTCCACCCAGGAAAGTCCTCGGCTGAGATATGATCCTGTGAGCTTCTCCTGAGAGACGACAGCTCCACCAACTACACCACTCTTACTTCAAACTGTAGTTTTTATTTTATGCTAGCAATCTTAAATAATAAAAATTGTTTTTCTAATCAACTAGACTGCATTTTCATTTTAGCTAAATTAATGCGTGTAAGATTTCCTAATTCCCCACCAAATTATAAAAATAAAGAGGTTCAAAGTTTGATTTGAATTTGATAAAACACAAAAGTAAGTATTTTGTAAAAACTTTTCTTGGTGGTAAATAGCCATGCAGCAGCTTAAGTGCTACTCAGTGTGACTCAAGAGTACCTGTATTTTTCGGACTATAAGCCGCGACTTTTTTCCTGAACTTTGAACCATGCGGCTTATAGTCCGGTGCGGCTTATACATGGATTTTTTTCTTCAGCCACCAGGGGGCTCTAATGGTGCATTCACACCAAACGCAATTTCAGCGTCAGGAGCATCAGGTTTACATACAAAGTCTATAGTGGACGCGCTTCAAGCAGCGTCGGGAAGTGCTGCAGCGCCTCAAGTGCGATTAGAGCAGCGCGATTTGAACGATTTGAGCGTTCGACGTGCTGAGGCGCAAATCGCTGAAGTTAGAAAATCTGAACTTTTGCAGCTCGACGCGCAGCGTCAACCAATCAGAGAGACTCCACTGTGTGACGTAGCGACATATTTCCCGACGGGACAGTTTACTGAATGATGTCCACTAACCTGAAACAGATGGAGAGGAGCTCTTTAGCTGAAATGAGTGCCTGCAGTCGTGTCCTGATAGGAGATATCTGCACCAATGCGTGGCAGCGACTCATCAGACTGGAAAAATAGTCCTGAAAGCGAGCTGTGAGCCTCTACTCTGAATTATCTGGTGAATTAATTATGAATTAATTATCTGATGAACGTGACATGCTCTTGCGCTCTGTAAATAAAGCAAAGCCACTTCCTGGTCCGACATTAAACAGAGCCCGACAGAGGAGGGAGGGGCGGGGCGGCTGTCGCCGTGCAGCGCTTCAAGAGCTGACCTGCGTCTGACCTCAAAGTGCACGAGCTTCAAACTTCAACGTTGGCTGCAATTTTGAAGCTGAAATCGCGTTCGGTGTGAACGCAGCATTATGCTGCATTTGCTTCAACCACTCGCTTCAAAAAAAGAGAGGAAAAACAAAAAGAAAAAAGCGATCACTTCCAGAGCCGACTGTTGTACCAGGAAGCAGCGATTTAAAGATAGTCAATGGCCAAAAACTAATAAAAGGGGCTAAAACAGACATTTTTCACGGTGGAATGTGACTGATAAAAACTTTGGAGCTTAATCCAGGACCAGTTTGTGGATAAACGTTGAGTGAAGAGCCGCGGACTTTTTTTTTCCTAATTGCACTCCCCGGGGAAGGAATCCCATGCAGTGACGTATGCTGGAGCGGGAGGGCTTTCCCACCAAAGCTTCAGAGCCAGCATTACCCCGGGAGGACAGCGACACAGAAAGCAACACTGAACAGATACCGCTGTGTGACGCAGCTTTTCTCAGCTTGTTTAACTCCGACACTGAAGAGGAGGACTTCGATGGTTTCAGTGCACTGGAGGAAGATGAATGAGACATTTTGTTGGACCAGAAACTGTTAAAAGAAAACTACCAAAATAAGGTCAGTTAAATGAACCGTATTCCTCCGAACTTTAATTCCTAAAGGTTCGCTTTTTATGTTGAATTCACTTTTTTGACGGCAAATTTGGGTGTACTGTTTTTTTTATGTTGGGGGTGCGGCTTATAGTCCGGTGCGGCTTATATGTTAATGTTGGCGGATGTTTTTTTTTTTTAAATGGCGGGTGCGGCTTATAGTCCGGTGCGGCTTATATTCCGAAAAATACGGTACTTGATTAATATGATCAGGCTTTAGAGGAAAGTTGGTATCATCACTGTTATCAAAGCAGCGGATAAAGAAGAGCTGCACACTTCCATCATTAGACTAAATTAACAGACAGGATTATTGATCTTCCAGGACTGAGCTGGTTTTCAGGGCCCTTGAGGTTTTACAGCTCTCAATTAACACAATCTACCAATTTGTGTCAGAAGGAAATATGCCAGAGGTTCCTTCCTGCCTGTTGACCAAAACATAACTGGTTTAAGACAACCTGCAATAAGCTCAAGTGGGACTGTTTCATCCTTCCTCCTGTGAATCAATACAAACGTACATTTCACATAAATGTTCATGTGAAATACATGAAGTTATACAAACTAATGCAGGTACATTTACTCTAACACTTTAAATGTAATCTAAAATTTGCTGGAAAACAAAAATAGCAACTGAAAATAGAAAGGATGAGTGAGAGCCATCAGTTTAATCTCATACTTATCGACAGGACAAGCAGTGGAGAGACAAGAGGCTTTTAAATAATTGATCCGTTCTCTGACTCATTGCTGCAGGAGTGAAGGACGAGCACCTGTTCCTCCTGCTCACTGGAATACATGCATTATAACCTAGAGCAGATTTATAACCACCATAAACATTACTGTAACTCAGCTTTCAGGTTAACATTGCATCTCTGAATCATACCGGTGTAGAGCTTACGGACATTTAGCCACACTGCACATGCAAACACAAATCTGCTCCAATCCACTTGTTTCGCCTCCATGTGCTGTCATAAAGTGAGTCATGGCCCTGGCAGATATGACCCAATATAGACTAATCCATCATGACCTGCTTAAACCCTTCTCCTGCTGCTAGCTTTGTGTGTGTTGTTGTTTTTTTTAACAGTTAACTTATTTTTAACATATTTCTCAATATGTACAATTTAACAAATATCAAGAAAACATCCTACTCTTTGTATTGTAACATCAGTTGTTTAACTAATTTCTTTAAGGTGAAAACTGTTGAAAACAACAAGAGTGTTTTGTCTTATTGTACAAATTAAATCCAGCTCCACGTGTTTCTATTGATGTCATTTACCCGCTAGAAAACTTGTGTGATGAAGGTACATGGAAGACAAATAAGTTTAAATAAAATAAGCAAAAGAGGATTGAGTTAAAATAAATAAAAATGTACTCAAGATACGTTTTGAGCATCCAAAACGTGTCCAACGCTACGAGTTAGCTGCTTGTGCTCTTTCAGGTCAGACGTGTTCGGACTGTCGGGAAGCTCCTGTTGTTTTCCTCTGCTGGTCTCTGTTTAATGATGGATGAAATAAAGAAAGGGGCGGAACTTTATTTACTTTGAGCAAGTGAACGTCGTGCTCACAAGATAATTAATGTACCAGATAATTCAGAGGAGGTCTTTTCGGTAAGTTTAGGAGCTGCGAAGCTTTCAAGCTACGTTCAGACCGAGCTCTGCCTCTCTTTGTTTACTGAACCAGCGGCTGCTGACTGTCGTTACGCTCTTGCGCGATGCTGCGTTCAGGACAAGCACGGAAAACTCACAACTCTTACGCCAATACAGTCGCAATGATGCGTTTAGGTACCGAAACATGGTACCATTTGGTGTTACGTGAATAGGTTCTCGGTAGTACCGAGAGAATTTGGTCGGTACTTTAAAAAGTATTGAATTCGGTATGCATCCCTACTGCCAACAAACTTTGATCTTCTAATTCTCCAATTCCTGCAGTGGATGAAACTAAACATTAAAGTTTTGCATACTGCAGTATACTTTTTAAAGTGTATGAAAAAAAACAATTGCAATATAACGTCCCTGTTGTAGCAGCAGAACTGAAAACAAGCACTGGAATGTGTGCCCTTTCAGCCTCATTTACTTTAAGCACCAGTGGAAAGAAATTACAAAAGTGTTAGATATTGGGACTGACATGGTAAGCTGGATTTAATCAACACCCCCCCCCCCTTTTTTAATATAATTATTCCATAGTTGGAACAAACACTTTGCAGAGAAACCATCCCTTTCTACTAAAGGGAACAAAGGAATATTGTCATGGAGCTGGAAACAGTGTTATGTTACATTAAAAGAGATCACTGTCAAAGTTCCTCCAGTAGGAAGTTATTAAATACCCTGAAAGATTACTCTGCAGTATAAAGAAATCCATTTTTAACATGGAAAAGGCAGTCTTTGATGTAGTGGTCTAGATGCAGATATGCACAGTATCTTAGTTTTAGGGAAAAGACTGTCTTGAAATGCATTTTATCTTTATTTGAAACGAATGAGGAAAAATTATAAATCAGCAATAGAACTGGTAAAACTGTACTTTTTTTCATGCAGTTTTCCCTCAAACCCAGAGGTAAAATGTCTGTTTCTGTGCTCACAAGAGTTTCCTGGAACAGAAAAAAACGTAAAACTAATGTATGACTCAAAATATCTATGCTTTTAAATGTTTTCATGTGTCATTGTTTGGCTGGTTCGGTCAATAATACGTTTTTTTCTAAAGTGCAAACATTGAATTTGATGCCATTTATCCCTCTCTTTCATTTGGATTTCTGTGTGAGTCAGCCCATTTTACTATAATCAATAGAACTGAACGTGGGGATTATTTCGTCTTTGTTGAAGTGTTTGTTGAAGCTTTTACATAACTACGTGACTCACTTTCCAATACACTCCTCCTAAACTTAGCCAACAGTGGGAATAAACAAGATCTTAAAATGACTGTCCATAAAAACCTACAAAGTACATTTTAATTTTTACTCTTAAAACACAGCAGAGTTGAGCAGACACTTAACTTTAAATTCTAAAATGATTTCTGCTCCTCAGCTTTCTAACAAAAATGACTTTCATTACATTTTTCTGTGGAGGTCAATAGTAAATTGTGATTAACTCAAAGCATGATTTAAAAGAAAGGATATGTTCAATGTTCCTGCGTAGGTTCTCGTTGAGTTTGGCCTCCAGTTCAGCCAGCTCTTCCTCAGCCTTCCTCATGTCTTTCTGGAGCTCCAGGCGAGACTTTCTGGTGTCGTAGTAGCCTCCTGTCAGAGCTCCACGGTGGCTCACCTGGTCACCTAAACAGTTAGGATTTTGTCAGAATCGTTAGCTAACGCAACAAGTTGGCATACTGAAAAGAGCTTTAACAAAGTGAGACTAAACAATTTTTTCAGTTCTCTGCTCCTGAACGTTTTCACTTTTTTTTGTAGAAGTAATTTAATCAGTCCTTTGTACTGCATGTTAGCTTACCCTCCAGAGTTATACAGTCCATAGTGAAAGCTCGTGCCAGCTGGGTGGAAACCTCCATGCTGCGACAAATTAGGGTCTTCCCAAACACGTGCTTGAACGCCTTGTCAAAGTTGGGACTGTAGCGCAGCTTGCTGATCATAGGGATGGCATCCTGTGAGCCAAGACACAGAAATATAAACACAGCTGCTAAGACTACACTCACCCAACAAAAAACGTCTAAAGACAGAGCAAATAAAGTCTGATAGTTGGGAAAACAGGAGAATTTTAAGTTATAAGAATGTTTAATAAATAGGAAAAACTATTTAACTATTACATATTAAAAAAAAACGAATAAAGTATGTTTTAGGATGCTTAAATTTGGTTTCTTGAGCTAGTTTTATTATTTTCTGACCTTTCCTGGCAGAATTTCAATCAACAGATGGAACATATGCATGACTCTTACGTTGGTTTCTGGATAGGCCGTGTCTCGGACATCCAGCTTGCTGAGAGGAAGGAAAGTGACTTCTCCAGGCAGGTTCATTTTGTTGAACTCCATGAGGATTTTAGTGCTCACTTCATCAGTCTCCACAATGTGGTAAAACAGTCTGAAAGGACAGAAAGTTAATTTGTTAAATAAATACATAAAAATTACCAACATGTTTGTAAAAAATACAAATAATTAAAGCACCTCTTCTTAAGATGAAACCTAATAAATGTATCAAACCTCAGTAATTTCCACTAAAGCAACAAAGAAACATTGGTGAGGTGGCTGGAGCTAAACAATCACTGGTGCACCTTTGTGCTACAAAGCCAGGGAGTAACAGAGACAAAAAGGTAAGAAGCTTTGTGACTCAAAAATGTGCAATGACTCAGTCACAAGATTAAACAACAAGCGGATTTACTAAAGTTAGATCAATGCTGAAGTACAGCAACATTGTATTTAGTTAAAATAAATGTTATTTTTGTCGTGTTCCATGTCAATACAGACTTTCACGTCTCTTTTGGTTCCGAAAAGTACAACAGATTCGTCTTTGCAGCTATTTTGCAAAACTGTTTTGTGAAAAAGCCTTATATACTTAACTTTACAGTAAACTGCAAACCACAAGCCTGGTGGACCATAAATGTCAAGCAGTGACATTTTTCGATAAACAGTTTAGTTTGAAACATCACAAAGAAAAGCATCATTGTGTTTCTCACCTAGTTCCAGCAGTCACCTCCACACAGGTGTAAAAAGCAGGCTCGCACTCAAAATTATTCATGACAATGCCATGGTAGCCATTGATAACATGCTGGTTGATTCCTTTCCGCCTGAAATGCTCCAGGACTTTGTTAATGCTGTCGATACCATTGAGAATGGCCTGCAGGAAGAAGAAGAACGACGTTACAAAAAGTTTGATGTAAAAATTAATTCTAATTACAAAAGAAAAATTGTACTACCTTTGATGGAACAAATGCAATAAACTAAACCCAACTCCTATAAAAGTAATTTATTTCAATCCTGTTTAAAAATAATAGTTGGTCAGTGTGGTGAAGCACTAAAACGAGCCACTGCCTACAAATATAAACTACTAGAATGGAGGATGGGCAATACTGAGTCCAAACAATAGAGAGAGACTGAACCAGCTGGAACCAAAGAAAGGAAAATATTTGCTCGTGACGCAGCCTCTTTTTATCTCTGCAGATATTATTCAGTGGTGATATTTGATTGATATATAGGCCCAGAAGAAATGACCTGATGAGGCGGCGAGGAGTGACTCATATGTAAATTTAGCAAGTTATCTTAAGGTGCAAGCAGGGAGGCAGATGAATTCCATTTGATATATACCTATGCTGACAACCGGGTGAGTCACAAAGACAGCTCTTTGTGGTATTCAGGTGGGCTCACTTGGAGGGAGTAAAACACTTTTCTTGGGATTTATATACACTTGCCAATTTCCTCCCTCGGAAATCTTTAGCAAGTTTGCACATATGTGGACCTTTTACCAGGTGGAACTTTAACAGATTCATATGCTCACATATATCTACTGGAAGTTTCAAGGAGCATATTTGTGCATGTTTGCAAATGAAATGATTATACGTTGTTCTTGTTTCAATCATCTGAAATCAAATTCCTCCTATGCGTCCAGACGGAGATATTGGTTATCCTGCCGTTCCATTATGCAAGTCAATAATGACGCAGTCATGCAGAGTGACACAGACCTTGCCTGTAGCTGCTCTAAGGAGCTGCTGTTTCTTCTCCAGGTCCTCTCGTTTGGCTGCCAAGGCCTGCTGCTCTGCGTTCTCCTCGCGCCACAGGTAGCTGCACACAAACAGACAGTTGCACACTGTTACACTTATGTCACTAGAAAACCTGAAACCTAACCTCAGCCCCACAAGAATTTAGAGTTCAAACAACCCAATGTTAAAAATTGGAGATTTGCACAAAAACTATACGTATTATTTGCAGCAGGTCTTCAACCCTGTTCCTTGTGGTTTCTCCAACATGCATGAATGAATCAAAGCAACACTCTGGGTATGTTTTTGATGAGGGAATGACATAATAACATGAAATAAATCTCAAAAAAGTCAATTTTGTACAACAACTCCCATGCATAATTTACATTAGTTTTTTACATAAATGTTGACTTAAATGCAGTCTTTTCATAGTTTGCATCTGAATACATCTTTCAGAATGTTGTATTTAATACATCTATGAAAACGGTCTGTTTTTCCTGGCCCAGTGTTTAAATTTATTCACGTGAACACACTGACAGTCTGAAGCTGAGGGCATCTTTATAAGCTGCATCGTTCTGCTTGTTCACTTCCTCACAAAATTAGAGGCTCAAACTCAAGTACTGTACTGAAAAATCTGATAAATTATTTATAACACATTTGAGTTTGTGACAGAAATTAAATTTAGCTAAATTATGTGTTGAACCAATACAATTCTCCTTAAGAATCAATTAAAAAATAAATTAAAAATGAGTGTATTTAATAGATGGTGCAGGTTGGCTGAAAAGTCAATGAAACACAGGAAATATTAAAAAAAAACATTAAATTTATTTATGACAAGAAAACAGTTATTTTAGTTATTTAAATGGGAGACGTAATAAAAAAAAAGCTGCACATCTTTTTTTATAAATTTCAGTAATGTTTCTCTGTCAATCATCATTCTGTGTTCAAAGGCCCCACCCTCCCAAGGCCAATACTCTAGGGAAAACACAGAGCTTTGTCTCACAACAAAATGTAAAGACTTTATATGAAGTTAAAAACAAGATATTAAAAAAAGTTAACTTTTCTTACTTTCTTTCGCTTTGGAGTTCGTCTTTCTTGTTCTTCACTTCGTAGTACTTCTTGTCCAGCTCCTCTACACGGGTCTTAACCTCATTTAAATCTTGATCGAGTTTCTGAAACCATAAAAATTCAAGTGAGTCAGATAAATGTCCAGGCAGGGGGTTCAGATGAAAGCTACAGAAAATGATTGCATTTGTGAGTCAATCTGAAATAAAATTAACTTTTAGAGGGTTTTTTTTTCACAGATACTTGAGGCTGATTATTAGACATAATTGGAAAAAGTAACTAATTTATAAGAATTTAATCAAATTCCTTGAGTTAGCTGATTGAAAGTAAAACATTTTCTCACGCTGTACTGCTCGAGGTTCTTCTCCTTGTTCATCTCCGTGTCCTCCAGGTCTTTGTGGATTGCTGCGATCTGCCTCTTTTTGTCATTGATGGCCTGGTCCAGAGACTTCAGCTCTTTCTTGATCCACTTGTCCCTTTCTTCTTTGGAGGTGAACTGGCTGCCACGACCCTGCTTGGCGTACAGGTCAGTCCTCTCTTGAGTAGCTTGAGCCAGTCTGGAAAGAAGTACAAGTTGGTGACTCACAAATTTAAACAGGGAGGTGAATTCAACTTTTATTTTAATGACATAAAGTTACAAAAAGGCGTATGACAGAAAAGTCATTCTGCCTCTATTGTGTAATTTGCACATACTGTATAAAACATTGTGTATTTTACTTTTGTGACAGGTTAGTTACAACAAATGTATTTTGTTATTGTGAGTTTTTAAACTATCTGTATATTTTAGCACGTACAAAACAAAAAACTTGGCAACAGGACTGTCGAACCTTCTGCACAGTCACCTCCTGATCTCCTGCAATCAAAACTGTTTTCAGAGTTTGATGACGGACTCATCGAGTTATGCCTGGACACCAGCTGGGTAATCATGAATGACTCATCCCTACCTGGATATGCCCCGCTCCTCTTTTTCCTTCACCATGTTGAATTTGGGTTCAGTCTCCTGCAGCTCTTTTTGTTTCTCCTCGATTTTCTCCAGCAACTTCTGACGCTCTTTCAGCAGGCGTTTCTGGAAGGAGAAAATATGATTTTTCCTCAATCTTTAGGCTTTAAAAACAAACTTAAACGAATTGACACAGCCAACATTCATAGCCAGAGAGAGTATTTCTTTTATTTAAAATGAGAAAACTATTTTCTCCAATTAGTGATGATGGTTAGTCCTGTAGTTGAAGAGGGCGATGCCCCATTTATTCTCAGTGCATCACAACTTTGTTCAAGTGAGATTTCATTAATAGCTATGTTGCAACCATCAAGTACACATTTTCACCATCTGCATCTAACTCACTAGAGCAGTGGTTCCCAAACTTTTGATCTTCTGACCCACAAAATATTCATGGCAAAAACTTGTGACCCCAAATATTACTGGTCTGAGTACACAAACTTCGTTAATAACCCTAAAAACGCAGGCTTTTTGACAATCTAAACAGCTTGTACACAAATATAAATACTTATTTATACTTATTTTGTGTTTTTGTAATAATTATAGGGAAATATTACATCAGCAATTATTTTATTACCCTTTAAATTGGTTTCTGGAGATTATCCAAGGTGCTTCATGACCCATAATTGGGTCCCAAGCCCAACTTTGGGAACCAAAGTGCAGTGGTTCCCAAACTTTTCAGCTTTTGACCCACAAAATAACAGCAGCAGAGAAGCTGTGTGAAGCTGACACCCCACCCACACAAAAAATAAAAACTAGTAAGCGGATTGGTTAGTGCTTCGTTTGTGCAGGTTTGTGCAGTTAAAATGAGCGTTTGTGCTGTTATAGTTTTTGAGATATTAAGCATTATGTCTTTAGGTCATTAAGACGTTATAATCCCCCCCAGCAAGCTCCAAAATTAACCAAAGTAGTCTACATTATTAGTGCTTCGTTTGTGCATGTTTGTGCAGTTCAAATTAGCGTTTGTGCTGTAATACTTTTAGAGATATTACTAGTTTTTAGTGTAAGGCGATGACGTCATCGTCCCCGCAGCAACTTCCGGAATGGTGACGTCATCGGGCCAATTTTTAACTTCAAATATCTCGAAAACTAAAGCTGCACAAACGACAGTTTTTACAGCACAAACCTGCACAAACGGAGCACTAACGAACTAGCCCACTTTGGTTTACTTTTGAAGCGATATGGGGTKATRGTGAACTGTAGATGACCAAATATATAATATTTAATATCTCGGAAACCAAAATTGCACAAACGACCATTTTAACTGCACAAACCTGCACAAACGGAGCACTAACCATTCTGACTATTTGATTAATTTTTTGACGTGGGTGGGGTGTCAGCTTCACACAGCTCAGCAGAGACCTGTGCCCCCAACTATTTTTTTATCAGGTCAGCTAAACATGGACATAGTATCAATATTTTATACTACATTTATCCATTTTAAATACATCAACCTCACTCCTTTGTAACAACTAAGGCAAAAATGTAATTAATTCAGAAAATCTTTTCAGGACCCGACCTTGATGTTTCGGGACCCCACTTTGGGAAACACTGCACTAGAGTAAGGCTGCACGAGTTATCGGCCCGATATCAGGGAATTATGACATCACACTTATCGGTCCAATATAACAAACAGAACCAATAATATATGTACATGTTTGCATTATTTTTATCCTTTTTGGTCAAGCAGCTTCCCGTCCGGCACGACCAGAGCAACATTCAAGTTGCGTCGGAAAAAACAAGTTTCTCACTAGAAAAATAATTAGAATGCTTTGTGCTGAAAAACAACCAGTCATTTTATGAATTATTAATATAATTTTACCAATTAACCCTGTACGTTACACACAAACTTTAAAATTATAAACATCGGAACTACTACTACCAATTTGAGAACATCCGTTTCCTCCTCAACGCAGCACAAAGTCCGTTCTGCTAAAATGCTAACAACAACAAGCTAGCGTTCAAGAACTCATCTGGACTTAAATCACTGCTGAGGCTTTTGACAAATCTGAACAAATTGCCAGAGAGGACGCAGATCTCAAGCACTTTAAGAATAGAAATGATGGATTTTGACAAGCAGCCGTTCACTCTCGCTGAAGACCAAAACTTTTATCTCCTTGTTAGCCACAGTTTACCAGCTGAGCAGCTGCTAACTGTGTGTGTCTTCCTGTATGATGCGGTCATAATGCAATCATACTCTCAGAAGCACTGTTTCAGGTGGAAAAATGTTATAAATCATATTAATAATAATAAAAACAAATGTACTTTGAATCTAAGTTGTGTTAGTGCATTATCTGTTTTAAACTTGTGGAATGACTTTTTCTCTTTGTACATATTTGTTAAAATCTGAGATCAGTGTTAAAGGTCTTTTTTACAATCAATGTGCCTTATTTAAAAAAAAAATGCCCATTTGAGAAATTGATTTGTTTGATATATTTTAAGAAATGTTTGCTAAGAGTTTATATCAAATAGTATAATTTACAGTTGGTTTTGGTCTTATTTATGTTGTAATCCTACCCATTTTTGACTATTATCTCCTGGCATGTTATCGGCTATTAGAAGGAGAAAGTTATCAGTTATCGGTTCTTAAAATAAGTTATCGTGCATCCCTACATTACCCTGGATTTATGCTGCATGCGTCTCCGCTGCGCTCCGCAGGTCGCAGCTGTGCGTTTCAAGTCCAGTTTACACTAGCTCCGGTCCGCTCCGACAGAGGAGATCGTGCCATAAATTCAGTGATAAGTGTGGAAGTCACAGCAAAAAATAATTAATTCTGTGAAAGATGAACTCCAAACACAGATGAAAACAACGATATAAAGGCTTTTGGTATCTATGGTTGAAACTGTCTCGCTGTCGTCTTTCTGAAACTTCTGATTTCAAAATAAAATCCACGTGTATCGTGTGTGTACACACATGCTTCATGCTACATGTTTCCATCTGCTTCCCAAACAGAACGATACATTCTGACTAGGGTTGGGCAATATTGGCAAAAAAATTAATCACGATTAATTGCGGTATTTAGCCGATAACGATTAATTTGACTATTAATCCCCTGGAGTCCCTGGACACCCTTATTTCGTAGTCACATGACCAATTTAGTGGGAAGGATTTGCTCTTTGTAAAAAAAATTGTTCCAAATTGTGTGAAAATTACAATCATATTAATCGTCAAGTGACAAAAACTAATCGATTGTTTTTCTGACGATTAATTGCACACGATACGATTATGCCCAACCCCAATTCTGACAGCATTTGTGAAGAAATATATCTGTATATTTATTAATATAGCCGCAATTTCGACATTATTCCGACAAATTATTCCGCCGAATAGTGTCTTATTTTGAAATTACGGATGTTGTGCTCGTGTCGTTTCCTGTTGGCGCGACGTAATCTTTAAAAATTGACTCCGGCACTGCTCAGTCGTCCAGCAAAAATAGGATCTGTTCTAATTTTGACGGATCGCTGTCCGCTCACTGCCACCAGTGTAAACACTCTCATTGATTATAACGGGTGTATTTGCTGCGGAGGTCGGACCGGAGCGGAGCGGAGACGGAACGCAAGTAATGTAAATTAGGGGTTAGAGTTCAGTTTTTTTTACTCTAATGCCTCACTCCCTGCCGTCCAGAAAACTCTGCTTAATGTTTTTAATCACAAGAGCAGAAAAATATAGTGCACACAAATAGAAAAAGTAAGTTGCAAATACAAAATGAGGCTTCGTTTACAACTCTGTCCCTTTATAGGAAAAAAAAAGTAAATCACTTACATGCCAAAAAAAACCACAATAACAAAAAATAAGTTTCTCCCTATGTTGAAACAACCACAGTAAAGTTGATTAAATCAGGACCACCTACAGCTTGCAAGGCTTTTCATTGTGCCTTAGAAACAGTTGGCTGGTGTCGTGCCAGCCACGGCCAGGTGGGATTAATCCGACCACCAGCCAGCATGAAGCCTGCGACCCATCATAGTTCACACAAACTGGGCCAACAGAACCTTATATTATCGTCTTCATGCTCACACGTGCTCACCAGCACAGTTACTAAACACAAGGCCATATGGAGCGCGAGCGATGCCAACCGAGTACACAAACACTCAAGCCAAGACGTGAAGCTGACCGTGATTTTGATGACGATGACTCATTTTACCTCCCAATTCATTCCACAGGGGATTCTCATATTGTTATGGGTTTAAGGGTTGACTGACAAATTTTAAACAACTCTTGTTATGACTGTTCTACAATAACCAATTTTATATTGTCTTTTTTTTTTTTTTAAATCAAATTCAGGGTCTGTAATTTGCTCGTGGATTAAAGGAAACTGAACCAAAAAAGATGTTTGTTAAAAGCAACAACACAATGGAACACTATTAATGTTAAATCTTCTAAACAATAAACTTCATTTTAAAAAATCATGATGACAAGCAGCTGTTGTTCAAGCTAATAACTGGTACGAGAAAAGTGGGTTAAAGGAGTGAAGAGTGTCGCCCTTCTCTACCCCGGGTGACGCTGGAGGAGGAGTGTTGTTGGTGCAGCATCACGTGTGCAGTGTGACGCAGATAGGAGGCTTCCGTACCCTCTGTTCACTGTTGCCTGCCAGCTCATCCTGCAGGTCCTTGGCCTTCAGCTCCAGCTTGGTCCTCTGCTTGATTTGCTCCTGGCGCTCAGCTGACAGCTGCTCTCTCTCCTCCTTCATTGCCGAGACCTTGGACTTCAGCTCGCGCACAACACGCTCCGTCTCCTGCAAGAAAGAAGACAAAATAAAGTCACGGGCTGTGAGAATAAATTCCAAACAGGAGCATGAAAACAACATCCTTACTAAGCCATTTACTAAATCAGAATCAGACTGAAGTGAGTGGTTTACCATTTTCCTGCTCAAAATATGCCTAAACTAATTCATATACCTAACTGTCAGAACAGGTTCCTACAGTTTAAAACAAGTTCAATTTAAGACTTTTTAAAAATTTTTAATGCCAAATGAAATTTAATTTAAGACCAATTTCACAATAAACAAAAAGGACAAAAAAAACTGGCAGAAATTCATGAATCAAAGTATTTTTGGTTAAAGTATTCAAATATTCCTAATAAACCAATTGTTTTTAACCATATCTAACTGCTATTTTGTCAAATACTGTACAGCAGAAACATTCTTAGCAGTCAGTTTTAAACTTAATTTAATTCCTGGAAATTCTCTAACGACCCCAAAATTTGGAGTTTTAGGACCCACAGTGAGAACTTAACCCCAATTTGCCGTAGATGAAACCTTAAAGTGCCGGTGACATCAAAAAAATTTTTTTTGTAAGAAATGTGAATACATTTTTGGAAAGAAAACATTGACATATGAAATGAATTTCAAGATGCTCAGACCAAGTTCCTACAGTTTAAGCCAAGTGAAATTTAAAACCTGTTAAGACTGTTTAATGCCAAATGAAATTAAATTTAAGACCTATTTCATAATAAACATAAATGACAAAAAAATAAAAACTGGCAGAAATTCACAAATCAAAGACTTTTTTGGTTGAAGTATTCAAATATTGCTAATATAGACCAATTGTTTTTAACAATATCTAACTACTTTTACATCAGCTATAGCAGAAACACTTAGCAGTCAATTTTAAACAATTTAATTTCTGGAAATCCTCTAACAACCCAAAATTTGGAATTTTAGGACCCACAGTGAGGTTTTAACCCCAACGTCCTGTAGATGAAACCTTAAAGTGCCGGTGACATCAAATTTTGTAAGAGACATGAATGCATTTTTGATGGGGCTGCACCAATTAATCAATTAATCGACAAATAATCGATTATTAAAATAATCGACGACTAATTTAATAATCGATTAATAGTTTTCTTTTTTTTTTGTTCTTTACTTTGTTTTTCTCTCCAAACTGCTTTGACACCTTCCACTGCCACATCTGCCTTTCTGTCCTTGACACACATGCACAGTAGTGGTAACTGGGGTAGGCCGTGGACGTCACAAGTAGGGCTGCACCGATTAGTTGAAATAATCGATGACGTCGATTATGTAAATTTGTCGACGCAGATTTTTTATTATTGATTTGCTGTATTACATAACCACCACGTGAATGTTCATGCAATTCCATGTCGGTACCTAAATGCATCATTGCGACCGTATTGGCATAAGAGTGGTGAGTTTTTCATGAAAATTTACAATTACAGAAAATATTACAATATTAAAGAACTGTTCTTGTTAATTTGATGAAAACATTTTAAATTTCCAGTGCACTCACATCAGAATAACTTATAGATTTGTTGTCAGAATAATTGATTATTCGAAAAAATAATCGTTAGTTTAATCGATTAGAAAATAATTGTTAGGTACAGCACTAATTTTTGGAAAGACAACATTATAAACATATTAGAAAAATAATTTCTCATTGCTCAGATGGACACTTGTTGAGATATTTGCATGTGAAGTAACAGGAAGTGATGTCAAAGAGGAATGTCTGCATGTGGATATTTAAAAAATAGAAATGTTACCAATTATTTTAATATTTTAAATGAATTAGTCATCCTACTTATAATGTGTTAACATTTTTAAGACTTCTGAAAGATTGATTTAAGACATTTTAAGGCTAATTAAGGCCTTATTATTGGATTGATGAATTCAATGACTTTTAAGGATCCGCAGGAACGCTGCAGAAAAGTGCTTGCTAAAACAATTCTTAGAAAGACAGAAAATGTATGAGTGCTGTGATACATCTCTTGTAGCATTTAGTTTTTGTACCTCTACTTTGTCCCGGGCGTCTTGCTGAGCATCACGCAGCTGTCTGGATTTGTCTCCACAGGTTTCTCTCTTGGAGGACAACTGGAGAAGAACATTTGATAAATACAAACAATGACTATTTCACATTTGAACTCATCCTCGTTCGAACAGTAATGTTTTTGTTCATATTAATTGCATCCTTTTTTATACCTGATTAGACTTCATTAACATGCAACAACTTTACACATCTTTTTTCCACTGAACGAGTGAAATATTTCGTCTTTTAACCAGGATACCTCGTCCAGTTTAGCGCGCGTTTCGTTCAGCTCCTGGTTGTAAATGGTGTACTCCAGAGCTCTTCTCATCTTGTCCCACTTCTGGTACTGAGCCAGCTCTTCCTTTTCATCTTCCAGGGTATGCAGACGCTCCTCAATATACTTTAAGAGCTCGTTGATCTTCTCTCGCTTCCCCTCTGGTGGAAAAAAAACAAAAACACAAACACAGATTGTGTAAAAAAGAAAAAAAAATTTAGCATGATGATTTAAATTGGAAGTTGTTAAATAATAATAATAACAATATATAATAATGCATAATTTTTACTCTAAATTGTATGCCTTTTCTGCTTTTTTACAACAGCATTTTTTTAGATTATTTATAAACTTATCACAGCACGTTTTTCTTTCGAGTGTGAACTGTGAATATTTCTTTTTTGTTTTTGAAATTTACTAAATACACTTTGATTGCATATAAATAAATGTTAAAGGTCAAACATTTTTTGTGCAGTTACCAGTCTCCTTCATGAGAGAAATGCTCTCCTCCTTTCGTTCATCATACACCCGTGTTCCTGCCACCTCTCTCAGAAGCTTCAGACGCTGGGAGTCAGGAGCTGTGGCCATTTGGTTGATCTGAACAAAACCATGAAATAATTAAATAAAGAAGAGATGCAACTGCTAGAATTTCTAATGATTCTACAAATCAACATTTGTTTTATTTGATTATTTGTTTTATACGTGACAAGCAGAAATGGTAGCACTTTTTATTTTAACACAGAAAACTACAATGTAGCACTGGGGGAAAAAAATATATTGTATAATAAACAAGTATGTGATCGGTCCCCACTGTTTTCTCACCTTTCCCTGCTTGACAATGTAGTAAGGGTTACTGCGAGAGAAGCCGGCACTCTCCAGAAGATTCATGACGTCATTTTTACTGCAACAAGAACAGCATGTGAAACACGAGACCAAGACCTAGTTTTCTGTGGAACACGGGTCTTCATACAAGCTCAAGCTGTCAAACCACACAGTACTCACGTCACCATCTTCTTGTCTAAGAAGTACTGGTCTTTTTTTGCACCAATGACACGACGAAGGGAGACCTCCTCTTTGTCAATCTGGAGAGAGACAAATTTATCACAGACGAAGACGGGAGCAACACAGTTTACAGTAACCAGGCTGATTATGATTTAAATTAGGTTAACCACGATTTCTATGATGCTTTACATCCAGCAGTTAAATGGGTGGGTATTATGCAAAATTGACTGTTTTCAGCTTTATCCAGGACAGAGGCCAATTTTAAAAGCATTTAGATTACGATTCAAAAACAAACTTTGGATATAGACAGCATTTTCATAAGGTAACATAGGCTACGTTCACACTGCAGGTCTTAATGCTCAGTTCCGATCTTTTGCAAAAAATCCGATCTTTTTGTGTGAACGTTCACATTACATTTTAAATGTGAACGTTCAC